AACCAGGACCTCAAGGGTAAGGGAGTTGGGGGCTCGGCCGGGGATTCTCTGCCCACCCTCGCGACCCGGCTCTCCCGGCCGCCGGCTGTTTCCTGGGCTGGACCCAGGCTCCGGCCTCGGCCTGGCCTCCCCGGTGCCCCTGAAGAGGCCTCAGCAGGCAAGGAGCACGCAGTCCACGGTGCCTCTGGGCAGCGGCAACCCCCCTCCCCAATCTGGGGCTGGTGAAAGTGTGGCGCTGGGGGCCGGTGAAGGGTGCTCCAGGGAGGGTGTGGCTGTGTCCTGACACCTCTGTGCTCCCCCTGTGGCTCGGCAGAGGCTCTGCGGCAGGGCAACCAAGCGCTACGGCTGCGATGCCAGGAGTTCCAGCAAGTTCAGGCCATGCGGCGTGAGGAGCATGACTTCCTTCTGCTGCGCTTCCATGAGGCCCGCACCCTGGTGCAGCAGCTGCAGAATGAACAGCTGGAGGTGCGGCGACAGCTTGAGTGGTTGCGCAGCACCTGCCAGGTACTGGGGGTCTGGGTCATGCTGTGGGTCTCCCTCACTCCCACTCACCCTCTTCCTTGGGGGCACGTGGAGAAGGTCTCTGAGACAGTCTCATTCTCCCCCCAGCCTCCATCCTTGCTATGCACCCTGGAGCCAGCTGGGCTGGATGAGGCTGACACCGTGACTCTCACCCATGAGACGCCTGTAGCGCTGATGGTGAGTGCTTCTGGGGCCAGAGGTTCTGCATGAGCCTAGATGTCTGGGTTGCTGTGCCTGTGTTTGTCTCTATCTTAACTTTGCTCCATATCCCCCTAAACAGCTGAGGGGGAAGGGATCTGGCTGGGGGGGCTTGGGAGGAGGGGAGGGGTTGGCTAGGCCTATTGTCTCCCAGCAGAAGGTGCTGGAGGGAACACAGGCAGCCACTGCAGGGGTGCACACATGTCTGGCCTTCATCCCCTGCCTGCCACCCCGCTTCCCCTCTCCTCCAGGCTCTTGACCGTAGCAAGGAGAACCAGGCAGTGCTGAAGGAAGCAGACACCCTCCTGTTGGGAGAGAAGCCACTGCATAACCAGACCCAGCAGCAGAGGCTGCTGGTCAAGGTGAGGGTATTGGAGGTGCGGTCTGGAGGCATCTGGGCTGATTCCTGTCTCCGTGAGCTGAGGTGGGGCCACTGGGAGGCAGCGTGGCCCCTTGTGGCAGAACATGACACCTGTTCCTTGTGGGGGGAGGGCAGGCAGTTGAGCTGGTGATGGGGGTTGGGGCCAGTGCTGAACAGTTTCTGGTGCATTCAGGAGAGCGGTGCCCTAGCTGAGCAGCTCCTGAAGACTGAATCCTTGCAAGGGGCTGGGAACAACAGGTAAGAACCATGCATGTGTTGAGTGGGGGGCTGGAAGGAGCCTGCAGGTGCCCCACCACGCTCCTTCCACTCCCCAAAGATGAGGGATGATCCTGGATCACTCAGTTGCCTCCTTTTGGGAAAAAGCACAGGGGTTGGGGGCAGGATGGCTGTGTCTGTGAAGTAGGCAACCCCCTCTGGGGCCTCCTCACCCTTTTGTCTTGCCCCCCGCACAAATCCAGGATCAGAGATGACCAGGCTGAGGAGCTGCACAGGAAGCTAGAGGAAACAGAAAACAAGTGTGTTGAGTGGAGCCCAGGGGGTGCCATGGAATCCCTGGGGGAAGGGGGGTAGGCAGTATGGGTGCACTGTACCAGTCACTATCACCCCCCCCCTTTCCCCAGGTGTGCTGAGCTGAAGCAGCAGCTGGCATCAGCCAGGGAGGACCTGAGCCAACTGGAAGCACAGGGGCAGGAGACAGAGCAGCAGTTCCAGGCCCTAAGAAAGCAGCTGGAGGTGAGTACTACCCTCTCACCCTTGGGGCAGGGGCATCCAAGCTGGGCCTCTGCAGGCTGGGGCTGATGCAGCCTCAGCTGCTCCCCACAGCAGGTGACAGAAGACAGGGTCTCGGTGAAGGCCCAGGTGACCTCACTGCTGGGTGAGCTGCAAGAGAGCCAGAGCCGGCTGGAGACCTGCATGCATGAGAAGCAGGCACTGGAAGAGCGTGTGTTGAAGGGGGGGTAGGGTACCTCCAAAGCTGGGCACTGGCTCATACCCTGCCTCCTTGCAGGGCACGGACAGCTGTGGAACAGTGCCGACGGCTGGAGGGGGACGTGGAAGCTCTGCAGGAGCAGCATGGGGTGCAGCTGGACCAGCTGCGGCTACAGGCCCAGAATCTGGAGACAGCATTGCGTGTGGAGCGGCAGGGCGCCACGGAGGAGAAGTGAGGGGGGGGGGTAGGTGGGAAGGATGCCAGGACCTGCTGGGGGTGGCGGAAAAGGTCCAACCTGCTGCCTTTAACGCCCCCATGGTCTGCTTGTTGCAGACGGAAGCTGGCACAGCTGCAGGTGGCCTATCACCAGCTCTTCCAGGAATATGACAGCCACATCAAGAACAGCATAGAGGGCGAGAAGAGGGCCCAGGTGGGTCCCCAGCAGGGGCACGTGTGTTTGTGGGTCATCCTCCTGGCCTTGGGGCTGCATCATCAGGGTGGTAGGGGACAGCAGCATAGACCACATGTACCTATCTAGGCCTTAGAGTGGCAGTTGGATGAGCTGTCGCAGCAGCTGCAGCAGGCAGAAGAGGCACTGGTGGCCAAGCAGGAGCTGATCGACAAGCTCAAGGAGGAGGCTGAGCATCACCGAGCTGTGCTGGAGACCATCCCCGTGCTCAAAGCCCAGGTGGGGCTTTTGGAAGCATGTCCTGCCCCGCTTCCTTCCTTGGGAGATGTCTGGACAGGATGTGGGGCTGCAGGCATGGGAAGGTGGGCTGGGAAGTCTAGTTACCCCATGTTGGCCAGGATGGGGTTGAGGGGTGCTCCATAGGCCAAAGGTGCAGGTGAATACTCAAGTACCTGTCCCCATCCAAGGCTGACATCTACAAGGCTGACTTCCTGGCGGAGCGGCAGGCACGGGAGCAGCTGCATGGTCAGCGTGAGGACCTGCAGGAGCAGCTAGTAACTTTGCAGCGTGACTATGAGGTGCTAAAAGCTGATGCTGCCGGCACCACACGGTGAGACGCCCTGTGCCTCCCACCTGGGCTATGCAGAGGAGAGGCTGGGGAGGGGGTGAGAATGGGAACCAGTTCCCTGGCACCCAACACAGGCATAAGGGCTCTGGTCTGCACCTGACCCTGTCCCCAACTGTGTTCCAGGGCCCTGATGGAGGAGATGCGGAACCGACACTCAGAGGTGCGCCCACCTCTGCCTGTGCCCCCAACAGGTGAGTGCCTAGAGGAACCTTCCCTCCCTAGGGTGTCTCAGTCTCCTGTCATACCCTTTGCCATATAGACAGTAGCAGCACTGGGGCTCAACTTCCTACAGGGGGGTCATCATCATGGGCCAGTAGTGGGTGCTGGAGATGGCATAGCAGAGCAGGAGATGCTGATGTACGTCTGTGGTTCTTCCCCACCACCCTACTCCTGCAGCTTACCCCCTGGCTGTGGGGCCATACCAGGCTGCACCGCACCAGGGGAGCATCTCTGAGGAGCAGCCAGATTTCTGCTGCCCCAAGTGCCAGTATCAGGCACCCGACATGGACACACTTCAGATCCACGTGATGGACTGCATCAAGTGATGCCTGGAGAAGACTGGGGGGGCCTGGCTTGCTTGCTCTCTGCTTCCCCCTTCCCTCCCCCATGGAGGACCAGCAAGGGCTGTATCGCCTGCCTCCACCCCAATAGCTGTACCCCTCACCTGATCAGTGTCATGCTGGTTCTGGGTGCCTGGGTTCATGCTTCCTGTTGGCCTCCTTGGTGCCTTTGGGGTGGGAGAAGCAGGAAGGGCTGGGTTCCTGCCTGATGCAACACTGAAAATGATCTGCTGTAATTCAGGGATGAGGCTACTCAAGGCTGGGGGGACAGATATGTGGACTGGCATGTTTCTCCCTTTCTTGTGTCTGATGGCCTGTTTCTTTAGTCAGCCTAGGGGGCTGCAGGAAGCTTCAGCCCCTGCCTCAGGGAGGAGCCTGTGCTGCTACTCAGCTTGGCCTAGAAATATGAACACTGGATAGGGATAAACTCTCTATTCGCCCCTATGCTCACCACTCAGTGCCTTACAATGATCTCACTGCCCTTGTACTTCTACAAGCCCCCTGGTTCTTCATCCCTGTGACTGACCTCCTGCTGTAAGGGCTGGGCCTAGGCTTTCACCTTCCTTTAATATTGATTAAATCCTGAAGTCCAATTTGAGTCTCTTGACCTCAGGTCCTTTGTCTTCCTGCCCCTCCCCTGGGCTCCTGGCTGCACCACCTAGACATCTCAAAAGTGAACCCCACTACTCCTTGCAGGGCTTGTTCCTTGGCAAAAGCCACCCCTCAGAAGCTCACCCTGCTGCTGCCACCACAGAGCAACACCCACAGCAGGTCTAGAAACTGATATTTATTGAACAAATCACCAAGAATTTACAACTCCAGAAATAACCCACCTGGCTGGATGCAACTGCCCCTCCCCTCCCCCTCCAGGGTCTTCAGCTCCTCCTGGCCCCAGGATGGGTTTAAGGGGAGGAACTTCATGCAGAGGGGGGAGGCTTGGGCCCAGCCACAGTGGCTTAAACCAAAGCCCTCCCAACATTCCTACCAGCTGCTCAGTCTGGCAGAGGCAGGGAGGGCCCCCCAAGGAAAGCAGATATATTGCAATAAATAATTCCAGACAGATATCAATCACCTGTAGTTGAGAGGCAGTAGCAGTGACACCAGCTCTGCCTGCATTTGCCCTCAATAATTAACCTGTCACGTGCTGGAATTAATCAGCCACGTGCCCTGGAATCAGCATGTGGGGAGGGAGGCAGCATCCTGGGGCCAGTGGCCTTGGCCTGGGGAAAGGGATCAAGTTACCACCCTCCTTGAGCTGCGCTGAGCTTGGCAGGCCCCTGTAGGAGATAAAGCAGCCAGCTCCCGTTCCCAAAGCTGAGGTGCCCAGCTAACCCCAGCAGCTACAGGGCCCAGAGGAAGGGGGCTCGACGTTCTCAGGAGGCAGCACCCTCAGGGCTGGCCCCAGCTGTGTTGTCGGTGGGTGAGGCAGTGGCTGCAGCCCCCCGAGGCATCACCTCGATGATGCGGGGCTTGTCAATGATGCGTGCAGTCTGGTTGCCCTTTTCCACGATCCCGATGATCCAGGCCTGGTGGCCCTCACCATGCTTGGGGGACTTGATCTCAGCACAGAAGCGTGCGGCCTGCTCCCGGGGTAGGCAGATCAGAAGCCCCCCTACAGAGATGGGGTGCCATGTAAGCA